TTTTTTTTTGTTAACGGGTCGAATCTGTTTTCTTTCTGTTCTGCTCAGGACTACTGCGCCAGCAAGTTCGGTGCCATCGGGTTTCACGAGTCCCTGAGCCACGAGATTAAAGCCTCAGAGAAGGACGGGATCAACATGACCCTGGTGTGCCCTTACCTGGTCAACACGGGAATGTTCAAAGGTTGCAGGATAAGGTGAGCCACAACACGAACCGGCGAGCGTATCCACTTCTGTTCACTTCTTTTCTTTTTTTTTCCTTCTCGCACCTGGGTTGAGTTTTTATTTTCTGAAAAAGTGTGTTCGGAACAACATTCGAACATCAAAGCAGGCGTTGAGGGTTTGTTGGGAGAATTACGGCACAGTGATTTCTGTTTCATAAGTCAACACTTTATGTAAACAAGGAGGGGTGCTTTTTTTTTTGTCTCCCAGGGTAAAAACCTCAAGACCAGGTGCACCTGGTCTCTGTCCCCCACCCGCTCCATCCCCCTACGATAACTGCTGCTGTTACGGTCTTCACTTTGTCTGATGGTTATTGTCTGCAGGTGGCTCTACTGTCAGCTAACCCACCAACCCCACAACTATTTAGGCCTAATCAGTGTCATTGCATTAATAATAACAATCATGCTCAGAGTTAGTGAAGACAGATTACCATCTGACTCCGTTTGGGATTTGAAGTTATAGAGCAACCTAAAGTAGCACATTATTTTGAATTGGAAGGAAAATTATACTTAATGGATTTTTGATTCCGCCTCCATTACTTTTAAGCCCCAATAAGAAAGCTATTATTGAAGAAAAGTAATTGGGCTGTGGGAAGACCCACTTCCAAAGTGGGTCTTCCAAAGTTAAGACCCAAGCCACAAAATGGCTGTTCACACACACGATTTAAGTCAAAATTTGATTGAACAACATGGTTAACAATAACTACTCCTTACTCGAATCAGGAAGGAGATCGAGCCTTTTCTGCCTCCCCTGTCGCCGGACTTCTGTGTGAAGCAAGCCATGAGAGCCATCCTCACAGATCAGCCAATGGTCTGCACGCCTCGCATCATCTACATGGTTAACTTTATGAAAAGGTAAGAAACCCCCTGAATGCTCCATTACCTCTAAGTGAAATGAAACGGGGATCCTTGAGTTTTAATCCTAACTCCATCCCGTTTCCACAGCATCCTGCCCTTTGAGGCCATCGTGTGCATGTACCGGTTCCTCGGTGCCGACAAATGCATGTACCCTTTCCTAGCTCAGAGGAAGGAGGCGATGAACAACAATGAAGCGAAGAACGGGATCTAAGGAGAAGTGTTTACAACCGGGGCATTCATGCAGTGGTGTGACAAATGGTTTGTCACCTTCCCGATTTCCTATTTTTTTGGTGTATTTTCTCACATGTCAGTGTTTCAGAACACCAAACTACTTCAAATATTAGTCAAAGTAAGGTGATATCCTGCTAAACCTAATAACTGGTTGGGCCAACCTTACCAGCAACAACTAAAATCAAATGTTTGTGATAACTTATGAATCTTACAATGAATTTTTGGCCTTCTCATCTTCGCAGAATTGTTGTAATTCAACCAGATTGAAGGGTTTTTGAGCACCATGTTTCACTGTTGATCTGATAAGCAGTTACTTTTAGGCCAGATGTAATGGGACACACACCGTCCAAAGAGTTAAACTTTTTGTCCTGTCAGTCCACGGAATATTTTTCCAAAAGTCTTAGGGATCATCAAGATGTGTTCTGGAAAAATCGAGGCAAACTTTCCTCTGCCAAGCAAGCCATTTTTGCCAAGTCTTTTAGGCATAACCTTTGACCTTAACTGAGGCAAGTGAGGCCTGCAATCACTTTTTCCTCAAGGGATATGCAAGTTTGGATTTTTTTTTTCTTTTAATAATGAATGCCTTCATTTAAAAACTGCATTTTGTGTTTACTTGTGTTATCTTTAACATTTAAACTGGACTAAAGTTCTGAAACATTTAAGTGTCAAACAAATAGGAAATCAGGAAGGGGGCGGACACTTTTTCACACCGCTGTACCTGCAAGCATATGGAAACAACCACTGAAGAAGAAAGATGGGGGAGGGTAAAAAAAAAAAAAGAAAAAAGACTGAATCTAGACTGGTGCACTTGCATTGAGCAAATGCAAAAATTTACCATATTGTTCCTCTGGAACAAAAAAGCTGCGTACTACACAAAGGAATCATTTGAGTGTTTTTTGTTTTCATAGAAATCAACATCTATATACCATCACTAGTTTTGAAATCATACAAAAAAAAGGTATCCAGTAATTAACTCTTTACATAATGTAGTCACCAGCCTTATCTAGTGTCATTGTGGAAATATACAGTATGTTACTGTACAAACAGTAATCTTTTTTTTTCTCACTTATTTTATTTTTTGTAGACATGCACTGTAAGTTCTAATTTTTATGATGTAAATTCAGATTTGCTTTTCCCCACACTGCCAGTGATCTTTGTGTAGATTTAACACAATGCTTCAAGCTAGCCAACATTTTCTTATTCAGAGGCTTTTTTTTTTTTTAGTCCAGTTTACACAGCATTGATTCACGCTGGTGTGCATTTTATTTTTAATTTTTTTTTTTTTTGCCATGTACCATCTTTCTTTCTTTTTTTTCTTTTTTTTGCCTAAATATGTAATTTTTAGAGACATGTAGCATAGTTTGACTTTTTAAATGAATTCCAAATGGGACTCAGTGGCCAAGTTATTGATAACCTTTTTTGGACTTTTCTGTTTCATGAGTCTCAGTCATTGCTGTTCTGATAAATCTCTTAAATGGAATGTGAGTAAAACAAAACAAAACAAAAACAATCACTGTCCTGGGTTGAATTAGCATGTGACTGATAGCAGAATGTATTGTTTAAAGAGAACCCGAGAGAACAGGCCTTTACATATATATATATTTTTTTCCCATTTGTGTCCATTTTAAGGTGTTGTTCATATTGTAAGTTTATATTTTTGAACAATATTGCTAAAAAACTAACTCCAGTTGAAGTTACTGTGCTGACACTGAGTGGTAGAGGGAACTATAATAATGTTGTTGTTGTTTTTTAAATTCCCCCACATCCACCAAACAAGATAAAAAAAATGTAAAATTGTCTCTGACATTCTTCTGACCATTTAAAGTGAAATGTATGTTTAAATGTTGTTAACCTTCGCCCAAATGAGTGTTCCCACCACATTTGATGTATGACTATTTTATATACTTTATATATATTTTTTTTGTTTTGAATGTTAAATACAATACATTCCAACAGGCATCATTCCCTCAGTCACAGTGATGAGCCTAAATTCTCTACCTCTTAATTTTTGCCTTTTTATTTTGTTTGACAGTATAACATAAGCCTCTTTTTTTGTAATATTCTAAAAAAAAAAAAATAAATAAATGCTCTGTTGTCGAGCAAATGTGGTTCCAATGTTTAGTGTCTCTACCTAACTTAAATTAATAAAGTGATTTAGATTATTATCAGTGTTTTTGTGTTGCTTGTGAAGACATTTCACGGAAACGGCAGCTTTTAGTCAGATTTTTCGTTCTTGCCTTCTGGTGCGATGAGTCATCACGGTGTTGAAACGAAACTGTTACTCAGCAGATAAGATGTCTGTGACGCCACAGTTAGCTGTATCCCGCGATTTGCAGAGGAGAGTGACAAGAAAGGGGATCTTCCAAACAACTGAAACTGCTTTGGAGCAGTTCTCATTGTCAGGATGACACCCTTTCAGTCCTTTTCTTCTCCCTGCAACTACTCTTTTGACTGATATCGGTGTCACTGTTCTCCCACATTGTACCACCCACTGAGTCAGACAGCATTGATATATGGGTGTTGGCTTAAGAAGGCTATACATGCAGCCATTGTCAAAATTAAATACACCCAGTTTTTATTCTAAGCCTTTACGTTTAGCAGCTTTCCTACTTGAAACAGCCATTGCAGTTACTGTGTGATCATGAATGGACATGGGCAGCCATAATTCTCAGTTAGGCTGTTATTTACACAAGGCTCAACACCTTCTAAGTGGTCCAAAAGATAATTTTGCACCCCTTAGATATCATTACATATACATATCATTACACCACTAACGGGTTGAACCGTGAATGCAAGGCCGGATGGATTGACGCTATCGATTTAACTCAGATGCTACCAGCTGAAATCAATAAATTTTCCAATCTGTTGTCTAATTTTGGTTGACAAGCCTATTAGGTATAACTTGGAGATAATACTACTACTACTGAAAAAAAATCAACTCTCTTAAACAATGATCTCCATATAGTTTGGAAACCCTACTACACACGATCTTAGGTAAAAACAACTTGTTACTACTGCTGTCTTTTAGAGTTAGCATTGTTTCATTAACTACCTGAACTCTCATCTTCTAGAGAAGGTGTTAATATGGAGACGCTCACATATGCTGATGATTATTTGATATATTTATGTATCTGATCAAATCACTCAACTTCTTACAATAATAAATAACAACTTAATATTGTCCCTTATAAGAAAGTAAACTGTAGTACAACTCTTTTTACCTACAAATAATGCAAAGAGAGCACTTTTTGTTTTGTTATACTTTTCAAAAACTGAAATTTAGTCCTAAAAGCTGTTATATTATCTTTTATTATATCCAGATTTTGAACATCCTACAATGAAAGTAAGTAAAAATTATAAACGCACTTATTTTTTGCATGTATAAGAAGTGTGAAATGTGTGAAATCTATCTGTCTGTATACCAGTGATTCTTGAGAATAGGGACAAAACAGGTTCTATGGATAAAGCACAAAATTTGAATAAAATATACACAAAATATAATTTTTTCAAATATCTGACTAAACTAACCTGGGTCATGAGAGCACAAGAATGTATATTTTCCTGGCGTTTGCTGAATATTTTTTTATTTTAAACATTGTAGTCGGTGGATGATGCCTGTAAACCCTTGTCCCAGAGTAGAACTCAATACATTATAATAGTTTAAAACAATTAAAGAAATACTAAAATTATATATTATGACAATTAAGTATAAGTAGTCATATAAATAATTATAAAAGTATCAATAAATTGAATTAAAAATAATTTTTATATATTTTCCAACTCCATTGAAATTTGTCCCTAGTTTTTGTCAACACCGTCAGAAATGAAAAGAATGTAAAAAAATAAAGAAATAAAAATCAGGCATTATTGGGGGGCACCAGAACTTCTGAGGACCCCATGACCTCTTCCTTTCTCTTCCTTTGCTAAGAGGGCTAGTTAGCTCTGGTTAGCTTAAGTTATTCTTTATTTTTTTCTTCTGTTTTATTTATTCCTAAGTTGCTTGTCACAACCATGATGTGTCAACACCATAACTGACAATTTACAAAACTTTGATGAAATTTTGTGAAATAAAAGCTTAATTTTAGTATATTGTAAAGATTTTATGGACCTGGTTAGCTACAATATGGCCTCCTTCAGAATAAAGTCATATAAATTGAGGTAGTTTGGCTTTTCGTTAACTCCGTCAGATGTCAACAGAGTTTTTCTGACTTTTTCAGTGAAATTATTGTCAAATCTCACTTAAATGTGCAATTAATTCATTTTAATGTATTTTACATGAATTGCATTACTTCACATGTGTCAAGTTTTTAATTTTACTCACTAGTTTGTCACCACTTTCAGTTCTGTGTCAACTCCGTCATGCACTGGACTTCTTGTTGTTTTTTGTTTTAAATTATTTTTTTTGTCTCTTGAGAAGCATTTGTCTGTAAAATAAGTAAAAATATCATTAATAGGGTATTTTAAAATTCATTTTATATTTATTTTGGCAGATGGTGATGACAAAGTTCTGGGTCAGGTCGATTAAAAATGTAATTTTTAAAAAAATGTTGCAACTGGGAACCTGCACCTTAGCATCTTTACATTTCCAAAACATTATTTGTCATATTTGTATACATAAGGTTGAGAAATAATAAAAAGAAAAAATATGGGAAAATTAAAACCCATTTTGTCCCTATTAAAAGTATTGTAAAAAACCCCCAACAAACTAATGTAAAGGTATGCGATACAACTGTTAAAAAAGAAAGATGCAAAACGCTGTGACCTTCAGAAAGGCTGGCAAAGGGTCGCAGTTATTAATGTAGAATAGAGAACATGAATGAATGTCCTCGGCTGCCTAACAGCAAACAAAAACACCAATCCATGCCATTACCTCTGTAAAAACCTGTCGGTCAGCCTGATGAGCCATCTCGGAGCAGAACAATGAAATTCCAACTATTTCTATTGCAGCTGTTATGTAGCTGACCTTTTACTTCCCCAGAGAAAAACAAGAAGAAAGAATAATTCCCTAAATGGTGTCAGCAAAGATGTCATGAGCTAGTTTTTAGCTCACATGCTCAAACTGCTGAGTTGTTTGTACAGCCCTGGAGTTGCTTTTCAGGTCACATATTAGCTATGAGAAGTATTTGTTTTGAACAACTTAAAGATATACATGTTTGTTCAGTTTGGAAAAATGCATTATAAAAGTAAAATGCCATCTTTCTTAAGTAGCAAAAGAAGAAATACTGGTGATTTGAGATCGAGTGTTGAACATAAACAATTTGTATCTTTATTTTTTTAGTAAGGTTTCATTAAAGAGTGAATTAAGTAGTGAATAACCTGTCAGGATTTAATCTTCCTATCAGCTCCAGTTAGTATAAATCCAAAGCAGCAATTAAGTGTTTACAGTCAAAGTATGGTAAGTGAATAATATGAAGGCTATACCAAAACTGTACCTAAATATTGAATTATCCCTTAATTTCTTCTAGGCTGATTTTTATTTATTTATTTATTTTTTATTTTGAACTTGTTTGCCTAAGAAAAAGAGGGAATAAATGTCAAAGTTGCTAAAGCATGTCAGGTCAAATTTTCATTTTTGAGAAATATGTTTTGTATTTGTATTGGAAGCTTAGTATGTGCTTGTTTCCGCCCCCCCAGCCCCCACAGTTTTGGAAAAAGTTTAGAAAACAGCTATGATTATATGGATGAATTTACAAATATTTTTAGGAACAACAGAATTGTGTGTGCTAGTCCAAAGGTTTGAACTTTTTTCTAAATCACAGTGACACACGGAAGTTTTCGAATTTTTCTGACTCCACTCTGCTGCATGTGACTGTTGTTCCTGCACATAAAATTTCCCCTAGTATTGATTTGAAACGAACCACAACGGTATGCAGAAATGGGTGTATTTAGATTCATGTATTGTCCTTCTCTGTTATGGTTACACAGAGTGGTTTTCTGAAACGTGGTGTTCCCTCTTTTTTCTTGGAGACCTGGCAAAGCTACAAACATTTCTAAATGAATTAATACAAGTGACTTCTGGGAACATTTACTCTGTTAAAAATCGTCCACGAATAGCAATTCTCTTCGTAAATTAATTTTAAGAACTTATTTCATATATCTGTGCAGAACAAAAATGACTAATTGCCAGCTTTGACCCTCGTCTGAGGGTGACAAAAATCTTTTTGTGGGACTAATCAGAGCCGGGTAAAGTTACTTGGAGACAAACTCATTTTAAAACAAGGGAGAATTTGAACTCTTTTGTGCACTGAAGCTTTCAGGCCTCAGCTAGGAAGTTGCTTTATGAAATTTCTCAGAAGTAACTGCAGAAACAAAATTCGAGAGTTTTTGTTTGAGCATTATCATGGACATTTATCTGAATCTGCAGAATCCCTCTACGGCTCTTTATCCCCCATTTAATTTGGTTGTAATTAAGAGGACCTGAAGGTTGGTCAATGGAACATCATTCACGCGGAAAAATCAATGGCACTGGCATTTGCTTTTTTGTGCCACAGACAAACTCCAGCGTTACATTGATTTTCGTGTACTTTCGGCACCGCGGGTCACATTTCACACCGGCTGGCCCAAGACGGGCGATTCGTCTTGTGTCGAACGCAGGCTCAAGCTGGTCGTCCACAACCTGAACGAGGTTCTGGAATAGAGATCTGCTGCTAATGCACGAGAACAGCTTTGGCACTTCTCAAGGGCAAGCAGATGTAGCTGCCAACAGAGTCCATTAGTCAGTGCGGTTGAATTGGACCGCCGCTGTCCCATTCACTCATCCATCTCGCTAATGGTAGGGAGGAAGCAGAGCGGCTTTGGTGGTGCACAGGCGGTTAGCGCACCGGTGGACAGAACATGTGGAGGAGTTATGTGGGAACCATGTAAAGGAGGACGGAGTGGCAGGAGGAAAGAATGATAAGGGGAGACTCAAGTTAGACATTAAACATAGCTTGTTTTCACCAGCCAAACAGATTTTTGTTCTGCACAAAAGCTCATTCTCAAAGATCACAAGCTGAAGAAAATCAGATGTTAAGAGAAAATGTTTTACTTATTTTCTCTTTTTAACATTTATGCTTTGTTACCTTGCAGACAAGAGCTGGTTTTCTCCTTTGTACCATCAGACCAGCTCAGAGGGTTTTGTGGCTCAGCTTGTCTATTTTGGCTCATTGCAGGTTTTTGTTCGCAAGACTCTCGAATGCATTTTACAATCTTAATTTATAAATTGGATCTTTGTCAGTGTAGATGGCATCTACTCAAAGCACGAGGCCCAAAGATAATCTGAGTGTTTTAGGAAAAGGGCCTTTTTAGGAAAAGTTGCAGCATGGGTTCTCTTAAAATGTATTCTCTTTGAGCCCTTGTGTTTATATGTGTATTGTTAAATTTGCTCAAATATAAAGATATAAAATGCTATCTACATTCTTAGAGAATATAAATTTCTGTTTGAGGTGATAAAGAACTCTGCAATAGGGTGGTACGAGTGGAGCAGTCATCCTTTTACAGACAGTAGTTTTTGACAAAGCTATGTGGAGTTCTGTAGCCATCTCTTGTTTAACTGAGAATAAAGGCCACTAATACTACAAAAAACAAACAAAAAACAGGACCCTGAAGGGACTTCTTTTGTTGGAAGTCCCTAAAAAAATAACATTTCAAAATGCTAAATCTCCTGGCGCAGTTTGTTCTACCACAGACGTTAGCATACTGAAAAACGTGTCAAACATCTCGAGACACGAGGAAATGATGCAGACGTTGCCTATCAAGTCCTTTCATGCCTTTTCAGTATGCATGTTGCTTTTGATGGCCTTCCAGGCTGAATAGTGTTTTGTATTAAGATGAAAGGAGTAGAATTCAGTGTTCAAGTGTGTCAGAATGGGTTATGTTAGCTTTGCCCTGATGTCACAGTCCTCTTTTATTTATTTTTCATTATTCTTAAGGATCAAGAGACTGGGAATAAATGTTTAATGCTCTGTAAGTCCCCCCAAAGCTGATTTAATCCCAAAAAAAGCACAACCCAACAGTTTTACTTTTCATACAGGTGCATGAATTGGTATCAGCACAGAGCATTTGAAGCTTTGCATGAAATTGCGTACTAGTGAGTTACTGTTTGGTGGACTGTATATGTGAACAATTTCTTATTACCAGATTACAAACTGGTTTGTCAGTGTTATGCTTCTTTTCCTCCTCCGTATTTAATGTAAAGTCTGGCTTTTGAACACAAAATTAAATATAGCATTCATTTCAACTCTTTGCCTCAGATTTTGTGGTAACATTATTATTATTACTCTCAGTTGTTCATTATCCAGAGAGTCTTGCCATGTGCAGAAGATAAGCTGTCTGTTTTAGAAGTGTCTGCAGCTCCTCCTGTTGCTGTCAGTCTCTCTGGCAAGTTGTGATCCTACTATGAAATCTTTCTGATCTTTTGACGCCTCTGTGCTCGTGTGGCCTTCGCAAAATACAGCAAAGTAGAGAAGTTATATGAATCTAGCTATGCTTCGTTTTATGTCAATAAGATTGAAGACTGCTGATAGGCGTAGACTAGAGACTGAATGGGGTGATTGGTGGCGACGACGGTGGGAGTTTGCGGTCCTCTGAACTTGATAAAGTGCGATACAAGTGCTGAAATCAGATGCATACAAACACACCATAAAGAAAATTTTCCTCATTGTCCAACAATAAATCCAAAATGTCCGTTGCCTTTTTTAAGTCAGCAAGGATAACTACAGATATTAGGCAAATTTAATTTTTTCAACAAAAGATGGGCCGTTTTTGTGTATCTGGAAATTTTACAACCTACTCTATTCAGCATTTATTTTAAAATGTCTTATTAAGCAAAGAAAAAGAGGTGAAGATGTTGACTTAAAAAAAATAAATAAAAAAATCAGTGTTGGAAATATATTTAGCAAAAACGAGTCAAACAAACAGACCATTTTCCACATAAACTGAGGTGTTTTTACTGCATTTCAAAAACAGCCTTATGACACATTGCACACACAGCGAAGAAGAACACACATCTTCAACGTCAGTGGACAAAGTGACCCAAAGTGTCGTTTCGTGGGATTGGAGGGGAGCCTGCAGTTCAGACACAGGCTCCCTCTCCCCTCAAATGCTGCACTTCAGAAGTAGCAGGCGTTAAAATCACCCAGTCGATGCCTCGGTAAGTCAATACAACACACACAATGGGTGTAGATGTGATCGACAAAAACTCTTGAGGGAGGGAGAGGAGAGGAAGGGACGATTCACTGACAAAGAACCACTGGGGATAACTTCTCCCTCGCTGGAGAACCTGCAGTCCCAACGAAGCTCTTCTCTGGAGCGCGACATCTGCATTAAATGCAAGAATGTTAATCATAAGCGGCTTTTCTTCAAGTTAAAAAGTAAAACAGCGCCCCCTCCCCTCCCACTGCCTCTGCATTTGTTCCTTCTTTGCTCCAGTGGCACCGTGCCAGTGCGGGGTCGTGTTAAAACACCTCTAATAATAATAATAATAATAAACTTCTAACACCAGTTTTGTCCTTTTTGTCCACATGAAATTTTTTCTGTGGCATTCTTTTTTTTTTCTTTTTTTGAATATGATACTCTTGCAAAGTCATACACATCCATATAGATAGATGAACAGTTTCTTCTTTTTTTTTGTCAGCGTACAAGGTAAGCTGGGTGACTATATATGAAGACAACAACTACAACTTTCACAGCACTGGCATTGGTTAATTTTAAATACAGTACTCAAGCATTGTTAGAATATTAAAATAACAAAAATAAAAAAAAATTAAAAGGGTAACATAATACCTCAGAAAAAAAAAATAAGCTACTGTACGCAAGTTGGTTTCTGTTCTAAAATGTTTCTTTCGTAAATCAATGGCATGATGTACATATTTGTTTTTAACCATACCAACATCTATTCCAAAGGGAACAAATTGTCTATGCAGTGTATCGCTTTGGACTTCCCTTGATTTCACACAGTACCATGCAATTATTTCATTATTCTGTATTTTATGCTCCGACGTTGTCATCTAAACTCTGACTGAAATCATCGATAAACGGGTTAGGATAGTGTTGTCTTCACATAGACTCGGGTAATGGTGCTTTAGTCGGTCATTTCTCGGTGCACATCCACCCTATTGCATTCTACAGGTTTTGCAGGATACAGTGGCGATCGTGTTGGTGGTGGGGGGGGAATTGAGCGGGAGAATATTCTGGGTGTAAGGTGGGTGTTGTTGGATGAGGAGGAGGAGGAAGGGCTGTTGGGGTTGTCAGCTCCTTGATGACGGCCTTTGAATCCTTGCAGACCTGAGTGGTGGTGCCTGAGTTAGTCTGTTTAATGTCCATCCTCCCTCCCGCATGGTTCGGTGGTCTGAAAAGACAAACGAAGGCCGCATTAGGGAGTGGGAAGGGCATTTGTCTGATTACTCTGGAAATGTTGGTAATAATCCCTCCCTCTGTGGCTAATTCTATCAGCGCTTCCTGGGAAAGTAGAGGGATTCACTCAGTCTTTGGTGAGTTATTCATTAAAAACCGAGCAATTCTCTTAACGGAAAAACTTCAAGAGACACGAAAAGTGTTGCGACTGTGACTCAGGCCACTTAACGGGTCCTTGAACTGTTTTACACTAGCTGATAAAGTCTGCCAGGTGCTCTGTTTACTAGTCGGAAAAAGGCTGAGAAGAGGGTCTGGTTGAAAAAAAAGAAAAAATTGTTTCCTTCTACTTTATTGTCCTTTTATATGCATCGGTTATTGTACTTTCAAGAACAGTCGAGTGGAAATAACACAATGTCTTGCAAAGGTATTCACACCTCATTAACTTTGTCATGTTTTAACTAGAACCTTCTATGTTTTTAATTTGGGTTTTATGCGACAGATCCACACTGCATAACTGTGAGGCGGAAGGAAAAATATTCAGTGGTTTTCACTTTTTTTTTCCAAATAAAAATTAGAAAATTTGGTATGCATTTGTAGTCTCTCGCTCAATCCTTTGTAAAATAACATCGTGCTATAGTTGGCTGCAAGTCTTTAGGGTTATGTTTCTACCAACAGTCCACATCTGGAGGTGGACAATTATGCCCAATCATTTTCTTTCTTTTTTTTTTCTTTCTTTTGCAAAATGGAGAATGGAGAGCTTCTGATAACATCCAATTTCAAGTCCTCCCAAAGATTCTCCCTTGGATTTAGGCCGGGAATTTGACTGAGCCATTGCGACACACGAGTATGCTTCGGTCTAAACCAGGTGTATCCAACTCTAGCTGTTGAGATCGACTGCCCTGTTTTAGATAAGTTCCAGCCCCCAACACACCTGAACCAAATGATTGAACTAGCTCTTCTTCACCATGCCATCAAGTTTGGCTAAAGACAGGTAATTCAGGTGTGTTGGAGTATGGCTACAATTAAAACTTGCATTACAGGAGATCACAAAGATTATGGTTGGAGACCCCTGATCTCGCCATTCATTGCATCATACATTGTGCTGCCCAAAGGTGAACTTCTACACAAGATAAATGCATTGTGACGACTGTTATTTTCTCTGGAATTGCCTTGTTTTGTAACTTATTCCCTGCTGCCTTATGTCTCTACTCAACATATCTGTTCTCGTCTGAGAAAATTTGAGCCTAACTGTTATCTAGAAAACCTTTGAGGCCTTCAAAAGACAGCTGGATGTTTACTGACATTGGGTGTCCCTGGATTTATTTAGGGATATTAGAGAAAATAGGGTTGAATACAAATGCAAGTCACTTTTGAAAAAAAAAAAAAAAAGTAGTGCTTGCGGGGAATTGTTGCCATATTTGCCCTCTCATCTCTGTTTGGCTGCCACAACAGTCCTGCAGTGTCTTCTCGCTTTTTTTTTTTTTTTTGCCTCAGCTCTCCTGGGCCACACCTACAATGAAAATACTCCAGAAACACTTGACAGTGGCTTCCTTCCTAATTTCCCAAAAAAAAAAACCTGACTGCAGCATTCGCACTTTCCTGCAGTCATCCCTCCTACTTCCTTTCCTCATTTCCTTGTCGTGAAGTAGATACAGGAGAGGCTCATGGAGAAAAGCCCCTTGTGTCTAAAATGATTGAGACATAGTGGAGATAGCCATCATGCAAAATATGAACCTCTGACAGAAGCGTGTATGTAAAATACATACGCCTACTGCTGCTTTCCAACTGAAGAAAAATGTTGAGCGGAACTGATAGGTGTGTGTGTGTGTGTGTGTTTGTGGGGGTGGAAAGGGAGCTCCTGATAGGCCAACCTGAAGCGCCTGAGGATTTGCACGTCACTAAGCTGACGCACATTCTGATCTTTGGACAAGCACTTACCCTCCCTTACCCAACCTTGTGGTTCTGGTCCTACCGTACCTTGATGGGGCCGTCCACTGGGTCCAGTCCCTGCTCCGACAGCTGTTTCAAGGCACTTAGAGCAGCCTGAGAAGAGAAAGGGGGATGGGGGGGGGACAACAGATGGTCGTGTGAGTTGGGAGGTAGGGAAGGTAGGAAGGGTGGGGGAGTCCAAGACTGGGTGGGAAGAGAGTGAGTGTCAGCCTTCAGCTGCTTTTCAAATAACACTTAACTCTGGGAAACCTGATGCCAGCAGGACACTTTCCCTTCGCTCTCTGTTGTCTTTGGCTTCACTCCCCTGACTGTTTATCCAGCATTATTGGGCGAACATTTCCACTTTGTGTTTTGGCTGCTCCCCATTTTCCTAAGTCAATCTGAGTGACATCTGCATTTGCGGTGGCCGCAGCGGAACCAGAAGCGGCAGGTCTTAAACACCTATAAATCAAAACCGCAAATTCTCACAACTGTGCCAAAGAGACGGGGAGGATAAACACGTCGTGCGCGCACAATGTTAGTGCTGTTAATTGTGTAATGATGTAATTATGGTCAATTTGTGGCGGAGAAGGGGAACTTTTAGTGTGAAAACTGCATGTCTGAGCCTCACATGTTGGAGATGATGTTTAGTTTAAAATGTGTGACGTGTAAGCATTTGAAAGATAATCACTACCAGCAATCCACTGCCGCAGAATAACAAAAAAACCCCGCAAACGACAAGGTGTCTATGTTTCTAAGCTTGGATCTTAAACAAAGTGAAGTAATTTCCTTCCTCTGACAGCCTGTTTCAGATAGCTGGACTGTTAGTGACGTGAGACGGATTCATTGCACGAAGTGGTGCACAAAAAGTCAGATTTTAAGGCAGTTACAGAGGATGGTGACTAATACAAGAAAGTGATGTGTTGCTCTGAAATGTTAACATTTTTATCAAGAGAACAAAACTCTCCAGGATCGTACCTACTCTTCTCACTTTCATCTACCAAAAACTTCAGTTGTCAATCAGTTTTGTTCAATCTTAACCAGATCTCTCCTTCAACCTGAAGATTCGTTCCAGATGTGTTCTGGAACTGCAGTCAGAAACGTGTGGGCAGATTGTGTAACGGGGGGATATATGTTTTATTTTGCCTTGTAAGTTGGAATTTGGGTCTGGGGATGACATCACTTCCAGCGTATCGGTGCTTCAGTGGTGACTCAAGACAACCGGCAGGAGTTGTTTGTTCATTTCAGCTGCCATGCAAAGAAGTCGTACTGAAGGAGTCGTGCCTCTGCTGTCGTGCAATACAAACTGAAATATAAAAGTCTACGTTGGTGTTTTATTTCAGCATCAAATGCAGTTTTATATTAACGGGGGAGGTGGGGAAGCCATATTGGATTTTCAGGTCCAAACTGGTTGGAAACATCAGATGGTAACTGGAATTTTCAGCTTGACTGGACCAGACCCATTGTTTTCCGGACCGATGGGTCGGAAAACAACACAAATCAGCATGAATGCGCTGGTGCTGCGGCAGAAAGTCGCCCCAAAGTGAGTTATTTTCAGTATCAGTTGAGAGGTTTGAAGATGAAGCCAGTGGAAGCAAAGATGTCTCGGAAACTATTCAAAAGGAAAATATTTAATGTCTCCACGTCTCAGTGGTTCATTCAGTCTGAAAGACCGAGCATCGATTTCAGCATATCAGTCTATCTATAGCTATATATCTATATATGTGTGTTTGCGCGCGTGTGTGTACGGCGTCAATTTGCTGAAATCTGATGGCTGCATGTGTTTTCCTATACCAGAGCCCAGTAACAACTTACATCCATTACATTACATTCAGTTACTGTTAATTAGATAGACCACAAGTGGTGGTGCTCAGTAGATAAGTGAGAGGTGACGATTGAGTAAGTATATCTCATTATAAAACCAGCCCACATTCATTTGTAAACTAAATCTTATCGGTTGCAATTCTCTGCGTACTCATTCACCCAACAGGAATACCAGAAACATCTCCATGAACACCAGTTTGTATTTAAGGCATCTGCACTAAAGGAGTAAGTAATCTTTAGGGCTTCAGTCAAGTGGAAACATATAATTGCATGCCAAATCAACGTCTCTACAGAGTGCAATACGAACGGGAGGATGCAGCTAACCATTATCTCTTGGCTTGCGTCAGAAATGATTTTCAAAGTCTTTTTTTTTTTTTTTTCTTTGCACAAGACAGAACATAAACCAGGAATGGTAAAATATGACTGGCAGGTGCAAGGGTCAAAATCTGCGTTGTAGCAATCAATAAAAAAAAAAAAAAAAAAACTTGATACTTTGAGGTACTAAATAATGTAGAACAATAATAGCTGGACTGATTTGAAAAATTGATACTGTCAGGGTTACTTAAGGCTTTTACCCCCTGAGACCCAGAGATCGACTGAAGCCCCACCAAGACTCTTAACAGACAATTTATGGCACAACGTGTGTTTTTTTTCTGCAAAGCTTTGACACCCAGTGAGATTTAGAAGCCGAATATACTTGGAAGAGATTTAAAGCGACAACCACATGGAACATGACAGATGAACGAATGCTTTTACAGTTAAATTGTTAATAACCATAAATCAAAGCAAAAAAAAAAAAAAAAGTATGTTAGGGAATTAAAAAGTATGCCAAACCATGTGGGGTCAAATGGCTGCACATGTATATTTAATGGAAACCCCCCCCCCCAAAGAAAGAAGTTTAAATTGGGACTCGTGATCGGTATTCCGTCTTACAAACAAAGAAAGTTTTCTCCCGTAACCAGTACACTGTGATCACAAACACCTTCCTCATAAACTTCTTGTTTGTCGTATTTATTCAATCAGTTTGAAAGCGTTTTGGCCCTGAGTAAACAGCCAGGGACCATCTGTTGAAGTAAGTGGGGGTGAGAGGTAGGGTGGGTTCGGGGCCGGAGATAAACAGCCATAAATCAGGGGTCTGACAGTGGCAGTGCTGCTGATATACGACAGGCAGGCATAAGGGCCCGGCAGCTCAGCGAAGGACGCACAGCCCAAGACAAATACCTGGGCCTATCTGTAAGGAAAGACAGCCAATGGAAAAAAAATCATTATTTTTCTAATGTGAAGGGTTGGCCATCGTTAGAGGACGCCACTTCATTGACGCATCAACACTATAGGATGTGTTTAGTCTGAGACCATGATGAGCAAGGTGGAGGTATTCCGTCTCTGTCAGAAAAAAGGGAGGTAAGATTAGAGGATGCTCTGTGTTGAGAGGTGCACAAATTGGCTTTGAATATGTTGCACAAAATAGAAAAAATAGGTCTGTTGGCCACTAAGGCTACATTCACAGCATGTCTTCATCCTTAATTCCGATTTTTCTTTGCTCGGTCAGTCATTCGACTTTGTGTCGCTCATTCCAAAGAATGAGTGTCGCTCATTCTTTGGAATGAGCGACACAAAGTAGACTGCTATACATCTTTATCCAGCTATTTAAATAAACATTTTGCTGTCAAAGTGAGCGAAAATAATTAGCATTGTGTAATTCAAGCGCAAGGCGTACATATGTGCATCGTACATTTTTGTTTGTGTGCAGACTAAGTGTGATAAAGTTGGTTAGTGAGCCGATGGTAATAAGTTATGAATATCCAAAAGTGAACTTGAATACTTATTAGTGAGAAGTATTTTATTCTAGAAATGCACATCCCAGATAAGCACATTATTCCTAGCTATTGAATTAGAGTGTAAAACAGCAAGCAAGAAAAGAAATGCGGTAGTAAAAGCTCATTCATAGCTATCAGAAAAACTGCAATAATATCAGCTTAAATATCAATAATATCAATACCTTGCCCAACAGCTCTTTTAGGAGCAAGTTTTATGCGGACAAAACTGTCCTTGCTTGAGAGGCGCCGCTTTAAAATGACTTTGTGCATTACTGCCACCTGGTGGTAGTGGTAGCAGCGCATTGCTACCAAGTATAAGAAGTAGGTGGTTTTCGGTTCTGTGGGACTCTGGTCTGTTTCACCTACAGTGGGAATGTAAACAGACCACTTGGAAAACCAAAAAAGTCAAGCGATCCAAACAGAAGACATATATTATGCAAACTTTTATGTGGCTTGAAAACATCTAATTCCTTGCTCTCCATTTATGTATCCACATTAGCAGATTATGATGCCACTTTCCACTGTGATTTTTGGTAATGTTGAGTTTATCTAATGTGTAAAAGGCAAATCACTGACTTGTGTGCTGCTAATACTGGGCAAGTTCTTGTCATAGATCCCAAAAATGAGCACCAAGGCAACCGTCTTGCCAGAATGGTCTCAGTTTAGAAGGCAAACCAAAAGAAATGAAGATGTGAAATTTTTCTGGATTTTTCAAAAAAAAAAAAAAAAAAAAAAAAAAAAAAATTTTCAAAAAACCCTCTTTTAAAAAAACCTTTAAA